GATCCATGCATTGGATCAAGAGAGCAGCTGCTAAAATACCATTACATAGCAGCAAACAGATATTTGAAGCTGCTGGTGCCTCTGGAGTCCCATGGACATGAAGGTGTAGAATCCTCCAGAGTCTTGCAACTGTGCATAAACCTTCTATTCTGCCACCACTAACCAATGCTCACAAGCAGAAATGGCTGCATTGGGCAGAAAAATACATGAAGACTAATTTTCAAACAATCTTGTTCACTGATGAGTGCCGTGCAACCCTGGATGGTCCAGATGATGGAGTAGTGGATGGTTGGTGGACCGCCACCCTGTTCCAACAAGGCTGCGACATCAGCAAGGCGGTGGTGGAGTCATGGGAAGAGAGCTGGTCGGCCCCTTTAGGAGACCCGAAGGTGTAAAGATGACCTCTGCAAAGTATGTGGAGTTTCTGACTGACCACTTTTTTCCCCTGGTACAGAAGGTAGAACTAGGCTTTCAGTAATAAAATCATCTTCATGCATGACAATGCACCATCTCATGCTGCAAAGAATGCCTCTGCATCAATGGCTGCTATGGGGATAAAAGGAGAGAAAGTCATGGTGTGGCCTCCATCCTCCCCTGATTTCAATCATATTGAGAACTTTTGGAGCATCCTCAAGCAAAAGATCTATGAGGGTGGGAGGCAGTTTACATCCAAACAGCAGCTCTGGGAGGCTATTCTGACATCTTGCAAATAAATTCAAGCAGAAACTGTCCAAAAACTCACAAGTTCAATTGATGCAAGACTTGTGAAGTTGCTATCAAATAAGGGGTCCTATGTTAAAATGTTTAAAAAGTTAAAATGTTGTTATAAGTTTGATTGGAATAGCTTTTGATTTCAGTAAATATGCTGCAAACACAACAAATGACAATTTTCAGTTCTTTACAACCTATAAAGTGTTTTGAAACTTACTGTGCGTAATAATTTGGAACAGGGCATTGTAAGTTTTTTATGCTTAAAAAAATACTGTTATCATTAGGAGGTTTGTGCAATAAAATTTGAATTGTACTCTTAATAGTTGATAACATGAGAATTATGCTGACTGTTATTTACATCAATTATTTAGGTAAATTAGAAAAATATAATTTTTATAATTTGGAACAGGGAGGTGGTGCCACATTAAATGAGGATGTTGGAGCTAATGAAGACATAGTAGAATGATAGTAGAATGAGAAAGAGGTGAGTCCTGACAGAGGTATACCATGAGCAAGTGAAAAGCATTCTCCAGACACTGCTAGCCAATGGTTTATATTGCAAGCATGAGAAATGTTGATCAGTCTGAGATACAGGTTTTTGGATACCTTATACCTGCCTCTGGTTTAAAATACTGTCTGCCGTCAAAGATTAGACACTACCACTTGGTTTACATTCCACTCAAAGATTTCTTGGCATTGCTAATTATTACTGTATGTTTATTAAGAACCTTTCTTCTGTTATTGCACCTATTACTTCATTCACCAAGAAAGGCGCAAAAATATAAAATTGGCCTGTAGCGAGCATCAATTCAATTTGCAACCATTCCAAATCTTTGCCATGCTGACCTCCTTTTATGTTAGAAGTATAGGAGCAATTCTATCAATTCTATCTTCTAAGAAGACTTTACACCCATATGGATTTTTTCCAGGACGTTTTCCAATACAGAACAGAACTACACACCATCATCCTTGCACTTAGGAAATGGAAACATTTTCTTGGATGTTCTAAAGATCCCATAATCATTTTAACTGACCACAAGAATCTGCTATATCTAGGTGAGGTTACAAGGTTATCCTCCAGACAATTTAGATGGTCCCAATTCTTTTCTAGGTTTAATTACATAAGACTAGGAACTTGTAATACTTAGGCTGATGCCTTATCCAGTCAGTGTGTAACTACAAACAAACTGGAGAAGGAACATTCTCTGGTAGTTCCTCTTAGGATAATTGCATCTACGGTCCTTACTGTTTCTTCCTCCGTTCTGAAACATATTAAAGCCAAACAGACAGAAACAACTAGCCATAAACCACCAAACAGATTGTTTGTGAGTCCTGATGACAGACTAACCCTGATATCTTTTTTTCGTGAAACTAAATCAATAGGTCAACCACGTATTAACACTCTCTCGTGTATTTTGATGGCACTCCTTGCGTAAGGATGCCAAGGAATATATACAAGTGTGTAATTTCAATGGATGCACTGTGATTCTCATGATAATAGATGTTTTTTCCAAGATGGCTCATTTTGTTACACCAAAATTACCATCTTCTTTGGAATTAGCAGGTATCTTTTACATTGAATTTGTTTTTTGTTTTTTTTCAATGCCTTAATTTTTATTAGTTTTTGCGTGATGTCTCATGACAAACAAACAAAATAAAATAAGGGGGTACAGAAAGGAAGAGGGGGAAGGGGGAACATTGTAAAGACACAATCAAAGGTTCTATTACATATACAAAGCATGACTGGCGTTATGTATTGTCTTTCCTGTATGGAGGCAGTTACAATCTAGTCTAAGCTTATCTGAATTTATCGGAATCTATCGGAAGGGCCCTGGGTAAGCTCACTTGTTTGACCTGAGTTGCTGATGGGGTGGCCCTCCTTACACGATCGTCGGGGGACCCCTGTTCTGGAACGATGGTTACTGGTCTGGAGGGAGCTGTTGGGTGCCTGTGAGTAGGCCCTCTGGGAAAGTTTGGGTATTGTACATGTAACAAAGTGCCCTCCCCGTCTCCGCATCGCCAGCATGCCTGCGAGGCTGTTGGGTATATCTGGGCTAGGCGAGAGGGGACTAGGTACCATCGCATCAGCAGTTTACAGAAGCTCTCCCAGTGGGACATGTTGTGTGAAGAGGCTCGCGTGGTTTGGATCACCTGTAGCCACATGGGAAGGGGGAATGTGATATCCAAGTCCCATTCCCATTTTAGCATATAGGGATGTTTAGTGGTCCTGTCCACATCATTAATTGCTGAATAGCTCAAGGAAAGGGGTTTACCCATGGGTTGGGTGGTGATGCACCGTCGTCCAAATGCAGTTAGTTGTTCAACCTCGCTGTGGTGTATGTTTAACGATGATAGGGTGTGTTTAATGCGCAGATATGTGAAAATCTCCCTGGAGGGTAGCGCGAATTCGGCTTGTAGTTCAGGGAACTGTTTTATGCCCCGTGGCGTTATCAGGGATTCCACAGAAGTGATCCCCTTCGTAATCCACGATTTCAGCGAGAGATTGCTTATTAGGTCTTGTAGTCGGAGGATAGGGGCAAAGAAGATGGAGTGGGCTTGTCCCATGAGGTCCCCTGCCCATCTCCTCCAGCTAGCCAGCATAAAGTTAGTGGTGTGCAAGCCCGGCGAGGGGGGATTCGTGGGAGCATTGGTGGACCATAGTTTTTGGGTTATCGTGGCTGGATGTAGACACGCATTCTCCAAAGACAACCACACCGGTGGTTTGGCCCGTGTGAGGGCCTCTAATCCCTGAGCTAGCACTGATGCCTTATAGTAGCCTTTTATATCAGGGGCCCCTAGTCCTCCTTTAGTTGGAGAGAGTCAAGTGAGTCTGCGGGCGATTCTGGGGGGTTTCTTTTTCCAGATGTAGGAATTGAAAATGGATTGGAATTTTTTGAGGAGTGTGTCCGGTAATGCTATGGGGAGGGTGCGGAATAGATAAAGTACATGTGGTAGCGCCATCATTTTAATTGTCTGGACTCTCCCCAACCAGGAAATTTCAAGGGGTTGCCATTTGTCCAACAGTGTTTGCAGTTTATGTGTTAGGGGTATGTGATTTTCGCGCGTGAGTCTGGAAGGAGATATGGTTAAATTGACCCCCAGGTATTTTAGGGATGTGGACCTCCCATTCGAAGGGGAATTCGGACGGTAACCTAAAACCGTTGTGGGGGATAGACCGAATGGCAGCATCTGGGTTTTGGTGGTGTTGTTCTTATAGTACGAAGCCCTGCCATAGAGATTCAGTAGGGATGTCAAAGCCGGGATGGATTTGTCAGGATAGGTGAGGAAGAGTAGGATATCATCCGCGAAAAAGTTAGTTTTTGAGTTCCCGCTGGTGTGGTGAGTCCAGAGATCTCTGTGTAGTGTTTAATGCGGTGTATTAGTGGCTCCAGACAAAGGATAAAGAGCAGGGGTGACAATGGGCACCCCTGTCTCGTTCCGTTACTGATCGTGAATGGTTTTGATAAAAAACCTGTGTTAAAGACCCTAGCTGACGGTGCACCATACAGTGCCAGGATGCCCCCCAGGAAGGTCCTTGGAAAGCCCATTTTTAGTAGGGTGGCTTCCAGATAGTTCCAATTAAGCCGGTCGAACGCTTTTTTGGCGTCGAGCCCCAGGATCACCCCCTTCTGGTTGCTAGCCCCCGACCAACTGATCAGGTTCAAACAATGTCGTGTGTTATCCCCTGCTTGTCGTCCGGGGACGAACCCAGCTTGCTCTACCGACACAGTCTGTGAGGAGGGGTTTCATGTGAGACGCGAGTAGTTTAGCGTAGAGCTTGGCATCCACATTGAGGAGCGAGATTGGCCTTAGGTTCTCGCACTTGGTGGGCAGTTTGCCCGGTTTGGGGAGTGTGACAATATGCGCTTCAAGCATTTCTTTTGGCATGGTCCCTTTCGTTTTAAATAGTAAGGTGAGGAAGGGTGTCAGGATCTTTATAAGCTTAATGTAGTAATAGTTTGAAAATCCGTCAGGTCCTGGGGCTTTATGTTTCGGGAGGGATGCAATAGCTTTTGAGACCTCTTCGTCCGAAAATGGTTTATCGAGTGCCTCTTTTTGTGCTTGAGTCAATTGAGGGAGCTTGGCGTGGCTGAGGAACTCATCTATGGAAGCGTGTGTAGGTTGGGGCACCATGGGGTCATCTTTTAAGTTGTATAGATTGGAGTAGTAGGAAGCTAGCGTGTTCACTATATCATTGGGATTGTATAGTTTGGTAGTGTGCGGAGTTTCAATGAAGGGGATTTTCGACTGGAGGCGCTGGGTTTTTAGTTTATTGGCCAATAGTTTACCCGCTTTGTTGCCTTGTGTGTAGTACGACAGTCTAAGAGCTCTCATTCTTCTCTCTACTGTCTGTAAAGAGATGGCATTTAAGCTCCTCTGTAAACGGGCAACGGTTTTGCATAATTTAGTGGAGGGGTTTTGTTTATTCAGCTTTTCGGCCTCTGTGAGTTCGAGGGTCACCCGCCGTACCTCTTCATTCTGTTTCCTTGTTTTACGGGACCCGATTTGAATCAGTACCCCCCTAACCACGGTTTTGTGAGCTGCCCATTGGGATTGTATGGAGACTTCCTCGGACATGTTTTCCTTAAAGTAATTGGTTGCGGATTCGAGGATAGTTTGTAGCGCCGTGGGGTCGTCTAGAAGACTTTCGTTAAGTCTCCATTTTCCTCTCCCTCGGACTGGGTAGAGGCTACTAAGGGTGACGATTACCGGGGCATGGTCTGACCACGTCCTAAGCCCTATTGCCACTTCGGCTATGTTTGTTAATGTTAGTTTGTCTACCAGTGTTAGGTCGATGCGTGAATAGGTTGAGTGGATTGGTGAGAAATACGTGTGGTCTCTACCTGTTGGGTAGATGTTACGCCAAGAATCATATAAGTCTAGTTCGAACATAATATGGGACAAGGCTTTGCTATTATTGTATGCGGAGGGAATAGGTTTCTTATTGTTCACCCGTTTAATGTCCAGGTTGGGGTCTGGGCTGCAATTAAAGTCCCCGCAGATTATGACCTGGCCTCGTTTCATTGAATCTATCTTTTTAAGGGCCCTGCTTGTGAAGGATATTTGGCCGTCGTTAGGGGCATAAAGGGATGCTAGGGTTATATCGGTGCCATTGAGCGTGCCCGCCAATATCTGGAAGCGCCCCGCCGCGTCTGCATGCGTAGCGCACGGTTGGAATACCCAAATCCGTATGGAATAGAATGGATACCCCTTTAGATTTGTTTGGGGAGTATGCGTGGAAGGCTTGGGGGTATCGCTTGGTGTGGAACTTAGGGGGGTTGTGGACACACAAGTGTGTCTCTTGAAGACATATCACTGCAGCTTGTGATTTGTGCATGTCTCTAATTGCTAGGCTGCGTTTCTGTGGACTATTCAGGCCTTTGACGTTCAAAGAGAGGATTTTAAACGTGTTTTGAGTCATTTGAAGGTGTGAACTTTAGGTCTGATGGGTACGCCTAGGGCTTTGGTATGTTTAGAAGTGGGGGACATTCTACCCTTTGGGCAATGAGCTAGTCCTCCAAGCTGAGTATGGAATAGTGTCAGTTTTGGATTGTGTCTGAGGGGGGAACGGGAGAGAAGCGAACCAGGGAAGAATAGGGGAACTTGGGGAAAAAACATATCGTCCCTCCTTCGGGCAGAGTTTACCTCCGAGTCCGTGTAAGGCAGAACCTCACTCTTCTTCAGCATGGGAGACGTGAAGTAACCTCCACCAGTTGAGGCCCTAGGGTTTTCTTGCAAGGATGACCGTTGTGTGGGAATCCAATAATAGCTCTCCTGTTATGGACCGTGTCCTATTATCAATATATAGAGATTTTTTTTTTATTTTTTTTTTTAACTGTATTTGTATTTTTAGGGCACGTCACAGATCTTATTTGCTGCCTTTCGAGTAAGGGGGGGTCTGTTACCCCACCCTGAATTCCCCGTGGAGGAAGGGGGTTTCGGCCCGGGTGTTCGTCCAATGTTTTATACGTGAGGCTGCTGGGCCTGCTTGTCTGTGTGGGGTTCCTTGAGGGTATCCAGGTCCCTTCCAGGGTCCCTTGCTATTGGGAAGATCTAGCTCTGTGCATTGGCCCCCGAGAGCGACAGCCGATGCGGACTAATATTGCCCCCCCACCCCTTCAACCTAGCAGGTGCCAGGTCCCTAATGGGTCTCACATGTCTCGGCAGGCGGGATTATAAAACAATAACCAATATCATTTACATTTTAACAGATAGGGATGATGTGGCTAGTCATGTACCGTTTGATAAATGGAGTGCCGTGCGCAGCGGGTTAATAGAATTGCTGGGGAAGTGTGAGTTTCGAGGCATGATATTGTGGGGAATATTACCCAACTGTGTATGGGATTTGGCGTTAACTAGTTGTGAGCTAGCCATTTGAACTCTGGTGGATCTGCAAATAACGTGCGAGTGACATGTTATGACTATACATTTGACCGAGGCGCTATTTCTGTGCCCCTGACAACTCTATGGTCTTACAGTTGAACCCGCTAATGCAAGCCCACCTAGGAAACATTTTATCGCATAACACAACCAACAGAACAGTTAAAGATACTTATGTGCCAGGAGTGCAGTCAGTCTCCAGCTGAATGTTCATTTTAGTCGCGACTGTGAGAGCCAGTGGCGGCCACCACCATCCTCCACTCTGGCAAGATCTTCGAAGGGGAGTTGTGAGCTGGAATGCTCTGCCCTTGCGCGTGATGTAGTCCCCACTCTTTCAATTTCGCCGTGCCTGCCTCCGGATCCAAAATTGGGACGGATCTGTCCCGGTGCCATACCAGCAGTTTTGTGGGGTACCCCCACCGATAAGGTATGTTGTTGTTCCGTAGAGTCTTGGTCACATTCACGAATTCCCGTCTTCTCGCCATCGTTGTCGCGGAAAGGTCGGCGAATATTTTAATGTGCTGGTACGGTTCTGGCAACTTGGTGAGTTTTCTTGCCGCGTTTAGTAGTTGCTCCTTGGCGGTATAGTGGTGGAATCTGGCTATGGTATCTTTGGGGGTATCTGCAGTAAAGCGGGCCGGTCTTGGGAGTCTGTGAACACGGTCCAACTCCCAGGTGGCATCTTCCACCTGCGGGGCCAAGAGTTTGCAGAGGGCTTTGAGGTGGTGAGGGAGCGCCTCTGTAGAGACGGCGTCATTGATGCCTCTGAATTGCAGGTTGTTACGGCACGACCGGTCTTCAATGTCTGCCAGTTTGATTTTAAGGGACTTTTGTTCCTCTTCTAGGCTTTGCAATTTGTCGACCAAGTCGTTATGGGCTGCACAGATCTCTTCCGTTTTCGTTTCTAGGTGACTGGTGCGGCCTCCTAAATCGGCAATGTCCTTCGTTAACTCGTTAGTATATTGGCGGAGGTCGGATCGGAGCGAGCTCTTTAGGGCCTGCAGCATTGTGTGGAGGCTCTTATTAGTGACCGGCTGGTCGTCTGGTGTTTGTGGATCTTTATCTGGGACCTCGTGGCGCTCTGGTGATGTCGGTTGGTCCGCATGGCCGTCGCCATCTTGCGCCGGCCTCGCTTTATCTTTTTTGTTCTGTCGTACCGGGTCGGTGATTTTTGTTTGCTTGGAGGGTGCCATGGTGCAGTCGGGCTCTATTCCCGTTGGTTTTTCGAGTTTGTAACTGTGTTATCATCGCTCACTTGTCGCTTTGGGCCTGGTGGAGCACGGAGCGATCGCTACATGCGACTTCTCCTCTCGGCAGTTGGCCACGCCCCCTCTACATTGAATTTGTAATGACATTCTATCTAATTAAGATAGCCAGTTCTTTTCTCATTTTTGGAAGGTCTTTGTTCAGAGATGGGTATTGCTCTGTCTTTTCCTAATTATAGCCAATCCAATGGAGTGGATAAAAATGTCATTCAATCCTTAGAACAATACGTACTGTTTTATCTTGAATCACCAAGATGACTGGGCTGGCCTGGTTCTTTGAGTTTTCTCTCAACAATGCTTCCCATGAATCCTCTGGACATTTTTTGTACTATGCGGCTGTTATGGACATGAAATATGACTACCATTTTAACACAAAATTTGCTTTTATACTTGGGTTAAGATTAAATTGATTGGATAGCCTCTAATATGTTTTAACTGCAATCATGGGAAATATACAATTAGTAATGCAAAGGATAATTGTCTAGTTAGTATTACAAGTGATTAGCTAGAACATGTTTATTAATATTTGTTATATTTTCTACAACATCTTGTTAAAAAACATTATCTTTTGCTGCACTTTGAGTGATTGTCATTTGAGGATTTCCTGTTAGGATATAACTCTGCTGAAATACCTTATGCAGCTAATAATCTAATATTATAGCTGTACAAAATAAAAGGGTTGGTTTTGAATGCTTGCAACTATATGTTGGCTACCAATAACTCTATTGTTAGTGCAACTAGCTGATGTCTATTGTTAGTGTAGCTAGGTTACACCAGGACACATGACTGGTGGCCATCTTGATGCTCTTTGAAGCACATATTCGACAGCCATCTTGGTGCTCCTGAAAGTTTAACACAGTAGTTATCGTGAAACCCTTTGAATTGCACAAACTAATTCATCCAAAACCACGAACCATAACAGCAGCTATATCCTACTGTTGTTTCTCCTCTGTGGAATGCCGGTTTTGGACAAACATCTGGTTAACGTACACAACACTTGGGAGCAAGTACAGCATCTTTTGATTGAGGCTTCAAAACAGCAGAAGATTCAGGCTGATAAACACTGTTATCAAAAAAACAGGGATAGGATGTGCCTAAAAATGAATTATTTAAAAAGTAATTAAAAGTCCAAAATTTAAAAATAGCAATTAAAAAATAGCACCACTAGCCACGTCCAGGACTAAAATAGTAAAACTGTATAAATTAAAATTTGAATTCAAACTTTAAAATCCACATATAGAAAAACAAAAAGAGATGCCACAATAGTGTAGTATGTAATAAACAGGTAATATGTGATGTGTAGGTCTATGTGGTCTTACTCACAATTTATAGAGCTAATATAAACTAGTAGTTTGCATTCAGTGGTGTTAATCCCCCACTGGTAGGATGTTAATGACAATATGTCCAGCAGATATTTCAAAGATGTGGTAACTCAATTAAAAAACAAAGAAAAGAACCAGAATACAATATATCTGTATAATGTCTGTATAAAACCAATTAAAATATAAAATCGATAGTCTTGTACTCACATTTCATTGAGCATGACAAACTGCTCAATTGTAGGGTGTAGATGGTATAGTGAGGTTTCCTTTGGAGCTTAAAACAGGAGGCCAGGTAGATAAAATAGAGGTAAAAGAATAAAAAAATAAGTGTAAATAAAAAAGATGTATGGCACAAAAATAAAAGTAAAAGAAGTATTTAGTATTTTTATTATTGTGCCATGCATCTCCTTTTTTATTTATACTTAATTTTATTATTTTACCTTAAAAGGTGCCTTTTAATGATTTTCATTAACATATGAGAATCAACATTACATTATTTATAAAACAATGTCTTTATATCATTGGGTTTGTTGGTTTCTAAGTCTAAATTATTTCATTCTTGAAAAACTTTGTGACATATAAATTGCAATGATATATATTTTTTTCTCATAGACAATTGTCTCCTCGTGGTTTTCAAGACTATATCCTCAGTATGTAGACTGGTTTCAAATCAATACTGGTGTTAGGTAATGTTATATCCTTGGTAACTAGCAGCCAATTATCTTTGACAGGCCACAGCTGTTGTGGTTTTAAAAGTAAGTGATCAGTGCCTTTTATGTCAGCGTTAAAATTTTCAACAAGTGTCTGAAAGTATCATATCAGTTTTATAAAAAAGACTTTTGTTGGAAGAAATGGATGTTAGTCTGTATGAGTTGATGTGAAGCTGAAGGTGACATCATGTCTGTAGCTGTTCTGCAGTTAGGCATTCAGTAATGCTTAAGTGCAGCAATTATTAAAGCCATTTGATAGTCACATATATCAAGAACATTTAATCTGCCCTATCACCGAACTGTGATGGTAAATCTATTCAGTAATTATTATCATTTATTAATAAGATATCATGACTTTGAGATCCCCTGCAAAAGTGACATATTTGTGAAGTGACCACAGTAATATAGGTATGCTTCATTCTATAGATAGTTTTTTTTAATATTAATAGCAATTCGATTTGTGCTTTTGTGTTGAGAAGAATGACGAAATGATTGAAAATGTACATTTTAGGTAATTTAGTCAGCATCCTAATGCAAATGCAGACATAACAGAATTTCGTCATGAATGAATATCGTTGAGCTGCATTCGGTCATTGCTGCCACTAATTAGGTCCATGATGTTTAGCATACAGGCCATACATGAGTGATGTATAAAAAGTTTTCATACCTCTGCCATGTCCCAGCTTGACATGCTGTGAGTACAGGCAAACAACAAGCATCCATTTGAGGAATCAAGGGTTTGGCATTGTCCACCACACAAATAAGTGGTATTATCTGAGATGCAATTGAAAGTGGTGTTTAAAGTTACACTCACAATAAAAAATTTGATTGAAGGCACATCAATAAAGTTGACTAACGATCTTCCCCACGTGTAAGGGCATATAGGAGAAAAAGAAATGCAATAATAAATGCAGACTGTTATGCACTTGGTACAGCGCTAGCTATGGAAACACTTACAAAAAGTCTGTTATACAAGCTCAGTATGCACTCTGTTTCTTTTGTGACTTTTTATTTTAATAGTTGCGTTGGTGGTTAAAGAATAGAAGATTTAGAAGAAAGAAGATTTCAGATGGTAAATATATATATTTTTTTATTTTACAAGTATTAGTTAAATGCCATCCCTCACAAATATAAGGTTGACTGTGGTGACTAGGTTTAATGTAATTTAAGGAGGGGGTGGTCAGGGACTTGGGAACTACTATTTACCCCACCAGGGGGTGTAGACAATACCACTTATTTACAAAACAGTAGAAAAAAACACACCCTTTATAATCACAAGTGGAAAGATATAAAGTGAGAAGGTGAAACCCAACACACTTCACCTATATAATAAATGTCTCACCCTGTAGAATAAGAACAAAGGACTCCTTCCAGTCCTCTCAAAATATGTATACAATATAGATTCTACAGCAGGAAGAGAAAGCAAAACAAAACATCAGTGTACTATCTGAGATGCAATTGAAAGTGGTGTTTAAAGTTTTTCTCC